TTCTTCTTCTCGCGCGAAAAAGTGCTGCTGAGTTTTGTCCAAACCAATCCCTTAGATTTTGAAGCCACGATGTTCTTCTTCTACCTGGACCTCGTTGGCCTTCCATCTTTCCCTGGAGGATTAAATGGAGCATGCCGTAGTTTTCTGGGTGTCGCATCACAGGTCCGAAATATTCTAACTTTTGTTTTTTAATTGTTTTGATGGTTTCCCTTGGCTTTCCCAGGCGGCTTATCACCTCCTCATTTCTGATCTTGTCAACCCAGCTTATACGTAACAGCCGCCTGTAAATCCACATTTCAGATGCTTCTAGTCTCTTCAGGTGGCCTTCTGTCAGAGACCAACTCTCTACTCCACAGAGCAGGATAGAAAAAACATAGCATCTGAGAGAGTGCTGGACTTCCTCATTTTCGATTTCTCCTCTTCTTCTTCTTCTGCAGCAACAGCTGGAGGAAGAAGCGGCCAAACCTCTGGAGCCTGAGAAATCCATCTCTCCTCCACCGCTGGAGTCGAAGCACCGCAGCCTGGTCCAGATCATCTACGATGAGAATCGGGTGAGCGCGGCTCCGGTAGCCATCTTTTCCGCCGGGTTTACGGTTTGGATAGCGGCGCCTCGTTCCTGGGGAAAGCTTGGATGGTCTCTGGGAGGCCCTCGCCAGGAGAAGAGGGAGGGACGGGATGGATGGAGAAATGGAGGGATGGGTGGGCGGATGGATGGATGAAGGGAGGGAGGGAGAGAGCTAGGATGGGTCGATGGAAGGAAGGAAGGAGGGATAGGCTGTATAGATGGATGGATGGATGAAGGGAGGGAGGGATTGGGTGGAAGGAGGGAGGGATTGGATGGAGAAATGGATGAATGGAGAAGGGGATGGGTGGATGGATTGAGGGATAGTATGGATAGAGGGAGGAACAGGATGGAGGGATAGGATGGATGGACGAGGGAGAGGGAGAGGGAGAGAGGGATAGGATGGATGGATAGGGAGAGGGAGAGGGAGGGAGGAATAGGATGGAGGGAAGGAGGGAGGAACAGGATGGAGGGATAGTATGGATGGAGCGAGGGGGAGGGAGTGGGAGGGAGGAATAGGATGGAGGGAGGGAGGAACAGGATGGAGGGATAGGATGGATGGAACAAGGGGGGAGAGAGAGGGATAGGATGGATGGAGGGAGGGAGAGGGAGGGAGGAATAGAGGGATGGAGGGATAGGATGGTTGGATGGAGCGAGGAAGAGGGAGGAACAGGATGGAGGGATAGGATGGATGGATGGAGCGAGGAAGAGGGAGGAATAGGATGGAGGGATGGAGGGATGGAGGGAGGAACAGGATGGAGGGATAGGATGGATGGAGTGAGGGAGAGGGAGGGAGGAATAGGATCGAGGGATGGAAGGAGGAACAGGATGGAGAGATAGGATGGATAGAGCGAGGGAGGAGGAGAGGAAGGGAGGAATAGGATGGAGGGATGGAGAAATGGATGGATGGATGGAAAGATGGACAGAAGACGGACAGGCAGTTGGATGGAGATGGAAAGAGGGAGAGATGGATAGAGAGAGAGAAAGATAAAGATGGACAGAGAGAGAGAGGGAAATAACCTTACACAAATTATTTTCATATCCCTTTCCTTTGTGGGGCTGTCCAAACTATTTCTCGGGGACTGAAAATCCCTCCCTTAGGCGGTTTTTCCTTCTCACTGTTGGGAGTTTACCCCTCCTCCCCCCATCAGTGGGATCACGAGAGACTAGAAAGGGAAGCACAGGGGAATGGATCTCTTTCTCCCCACTTGTTGACTCTAACTGGGGTATTCCAGAGTCTTTAAACACGGGGCTTTGTTCCCATGATGTAAGGGATGTCAGAGACCCCCACCTCACCCTGGGAGAATAGCTGGGGTACCTGAAAAGATGGCGACTCGCTCGTTGACTGGGTTGGGGTCGATTATGTGCTCTCAAGAGCGCCTGGATCCAGGTCCCTTCCCTGAAGACATAGCCAAGTGGGTGTCTGAAGAGGGTCCGAACGGTCCCCCCAATCCCCACAGTGTGGTTGTCCCAAAGGTGCTTTTTCAAGAGGCAGCTGGAATTAACTGGCTTTTCCTTGAAGACATTTCACTTCTCCTCCAGGAAGCTTCTTCAGTTCTAACCGAAAGGTGGGGAATGCAGGATTCTTCGGTTAGAACTGAAGAAGCCTCTTGGGTGAGAAGCAGAATGTCTTCAAGGAAAAAAACCAAGTTCAGTGGCCTCTTGAAAAAAAGCAACCAGGACCTGGATGACTGAGAATCTCCACAGACCCCCCCAGTGTGGGATTTGCGGTCCTGACAAACAACAGCTCTGCAGGTTTGCAGACTCTCCTCCCAGCCCCAGTTGAACATGGCGCTTGTCTTCCATGCATCACATCGCAACTATATAAAAAAGATGCTGAGACTCTAGAAAGAGTGCAGAGAAGAGCAACAAAGATGATCAGGGAACTGGAGGCTAAAACATAAAAGGAATGGTTGCTGGAATTGGGTATGTCTAGTTTAACGAAGAGAAGGATGAGGGGGGACATGACAGCAGTGTTCCAATATCTCAGGGGCTGCCCCAAAGAAGAGGGAGTCAAGCTATTCTCCAAGGCGCCTGAAGGCAGGACAAGAAGCAACGGATGGAAACTAACCAAGGAGAGATGCAACCTGGAACTAAGGATAAATTTCCTGACAGTGAGAACAATTAACCAGTGGAACAACCTGCCTCCAGAAGCGGTGAATGCTCCAACACTGGAAGTTTTTAAGAAGAGACTGGACAGCCATTTGTCTGAAATGGTATAGGGTTTCCTGCCTGAGCAGGGGGTTGGACTAGATGACCTCCAAGGTCCCTTCCAGCTCTCTTATTCTGTATTCTGTACACGTGTTCTTCGGCATTGCAAAACGAACCTGGCAAGGACCAGTGGGTTATTTTTCATCCGTCCCCGAAGTGCTACATTTGTTCCTGGCCTCGGTCACTCGCCTGCCTCGGAGAAAACGCCTGTCAGCTTCCTTTTTTGGGAGTTGACCTCATCCTTCTCTCACTGCTGGTGCCTCCCTCACTCTCACTCTCTCTCTCCCCCTCTCCCTCTCCCTCCCTCCCTTTCTTTCTCCTTCTCTCTCTCCCTCTCTCTTTGTCTCTGTTTCTCTTCTTTCTCTCCCTCCCTTTCTCCCTCTTTCTCTCTCTCTCTCTCTCTCTGTCTCTCTTTCTCCCCCCCTCCCTCCCTTCCTCTCTCTCTCCCTCCCTTTCTTTCTTTCTTTCTCTCTGTCTCTCTGTGTTTTTCTTCTTTCTCTCCCTCCCTCCCTCTCTCTTCCTCTCTGTCTCTCTCTCTTTCTCTTTCTCTCCCTCCTTCTCTCCCTTTCTTTCTCTCTCTCTTTCTCCCTCTCTCTCTCTGTTTCTCTTCTTTCTCTCCCTCCCTCCCTTTCTCCCTCTCTGTCTCTCTCCCTCCCTCTCTCTCTCCCTTTCTTTTTCCCTCTCTTTCTCCCTCTCTCCCTGTTTCTCTTTCTCTCCCTCCCTCTCTTTCTCCCTCTCTGTCTCTTTCTCTCCCTCCCTCTCTCTGTTTCTTTCTCCCTCTCTTTCTCCCTCTCTCTCTGTCTCTCTCTTTCTCCCCNTCTCCCCCCCTCCCTCCCTTCCTCTCTCTCTCCCTCCCTTTCTTTCTTTCTCTCTGTCTCTCTGTGTTTTTCTTCTTTCTCTCCCTCCCTCCCTCTCTCTTCCTCTCTGTCTCTCTCTCTTTCTCTTTCTCTCCCTCCTTCTCTCCCTTTCTTTCTCCCTCTCTTTCTCCCTCTCTCTCTCTGTTTCTCTTCTTTCTCTCCCTCCCTCCCTTTCTCCCTCTCTGTCTCTCTCCCTCCCTCTCTCCCTTTCTTTCTCCCTCTTTCTCCCTCTCTCCCTGTTTCTCTTCTTTCTCTCCCTCCCTCCCTCTTTCTCCCTCTCTCTGTCTCTTTCTCTCCCTCCCTCTCTCCGTTTCTTTCTCCCTCTCTTTCTTCCTCTCTCTCTGTCTCTCTCTTTCTCCCCCTCCCTCCCTCTCTCCTTCTCTTTCTCCCCCCCTCTGTCTGTCTCTCTTTCTCCTCCTCCCTCCCTCTCTTCCTCCCTCTCTTTCTCCCTCTCCCTCTCTCTCTCTCTCTTTTCCCCTCCCAGTTTTTCCTCTCTGGTGCTCGCAGCCGCCGAGTTCATGCGAGGACAGCCACTGCAGCATGGCTTCTGCAGCTCCCCCCTCCCTTTTCTGCAACTTCTGCTGTGTCAAGAAAAATAAAGGGAAGGAGCGAAAGAGGCAATTTAAAAGGCAGGTTGCCGGTTTTCTGCTCCGGGGTTTGCAGTAATAACAGAGTTGGAGGGAACCTTGGAGGTCCTCTAGTCTAGTCCAGCCCCCTGCTCAAGCAGGAGACCCTGTACCGCTGCAATAGGTATTCCAGATGCTCCCAGATCTTTCCTGATCTTTCACGGAGGCGGCTCTGGCTGTGCTTGTCGTGCGTTTGTGGTGATGAGAAAGCAAGCAGAGTTTGCATTTGGAACCACCGACTAAGAGGATTGGAAGGGACCCTGGAGATCTTCTAGTCCAACCCCCTGCTGGAGCAGGAGACCCTCGTACCATTCCAATAGGTTTTACAGACGTGCACAGCTATTTCTTGAGACTTACGGAGACGATTCTCGCTGTGCTTGTGGTGTATTTGTGGTGATGAGAAGACAAGCAGAGTTCGCATTTAGAACACAGAATAAGAGGATTGGAAGGGACCTTGGAGATCTTCTAGTCCAGGGGTCCCCAACCCCCGGTCTGTGGACCAGTACCGGGCCGCGGCATGCCACACAAACAAGCAAAGCCCCATCCGCGGGATGCAGGCAGCACACAAAACCACACACTCTCCGGTCCGTGGAAAAACCTCTCTCCACGGAACCGGTCCCTGGTGCCCAAAAGATTGGGGGGTACCTCTGTTCTAGTCCAACCCCCTGCTTGAGCAGAAGACCCTCCACCACAGAGGTCCCCAACCTTTTGGGCACCAGGGACCGGTTCCGTGGAGAGAGGGTTTTCCACGGACCGGAGAGTGTGTGGTTTTGTGTGCTGCCTGCATCTCGCGGATGGGATTCTGCTTGTTTGTGCGCACCGGTTGCTGGCATTCTGCGGCCCGGTAACGGCCCACGGACCGGGGGTTGGGGACCCCTGCTGTATCACGGCGATGGGTTTTGCAGACGTTCACAGATATTTCTCGAGACTCAGGGAGACGATTTGTGCTTGTGGTGTATTTTTGGTGACGAGAACCCAAGCAGAGTTTGCATTGAGAACATAGAATCAGAGGGCTGGAAGGGACCAGGGAGGTCTTCTAGTCCACCCTCATGCCCCGCCACCCAAGGAGGAGACCCTATACATTTCTGGACAAATGCCTGTCCAGTCTCTTCTTGAAAAACCTCCACACCCACAACTGAAGGCAGGATAGAGAGAGCAGGAGAGACTCTGCCCATTTCCCGCTCAAGCGCCCGCTTTACAGGTTTTTACAGCCGTTTAGCGACCGCCGGGCGTTAACGATGCCGCCGAAAAAAGTGGACTCACGGCCGGTCCTCACATTATGACGGTCGCAGCAT